AATATTGTAGCGGTGCTTAGGCGAAGCCCTGCGACGGTAGAACATCAAGATCGTCACCACGCCGTCGTGCTGACGGAACTCTCCCTCGACACTCGGCTGGATCGGAGTTCGAGGGACGTCATCGAGCTGAACATGTGCTAGAACTCGGAGGTGCCGTAGTTTCGGTGCTTGATCGGTCAGGCCGTGAAGACGTACGACTACATCAACCGCGTTGTTCTAACGCTTCCGCTTTCGATCTACAAGGGTATGTAGATTACACTCTCCCCTCTCGTTGCTATGCATCACCATGATCTTGCGTGTGCGTAGGAAATTTTTGAAATTACTACGTTCCCCAACAACTAGTGGTTTCACTAACCATCAACAATTGACGCTCCTTCTTGATTTCTACTTTCGCAGTGTCAAACATCGCGAATAGCTCAAGGATCATCATATCTATCCCTGATATGTTATAGTTCATCACAAAGCTCTAGTAGCTTGGTGGCAATGACTTTGGAGGAACATCACTATCTCATCTGGAAGACTAACTCCCACTCGATTCAAGTGATTGTAGTACCCACACAATCTGAGCACATGCTCAACGATTGAGATTTTCTCCCTTAGTTTGTAGGCTAAGAAACTCGTCGGAGGTCTTATACCTCTTGACGTGGGCACGAGCCCGAAATCCCAATTTCAGCACTTGGAACATCTCATATGTTCCGCGACGTTTCAAAAACATCTTCGGCGCCACAATTCTAAACCGTTTAACATTACTGAACTATCATGTAGTCATCAAAACGTGTATGTCAGATGTTCGCAACATCCACAGACGACGTTCGAGGTTCAGCACACCGAGCGGTGCATTAAAGACATAAGCCTTTTGCGCAGCAATGAGGACAATCCTCAGTTTACGGACCCAGTCCGCATAATTGCTACTATCAACTTTCAACTAAATTTTCTCTAGGAACATATCTAAAACAGTAGAACGAAAGCGCAAGCTATGACATAATTTGCAAAGTCCTTTTGACTATGTTCATGATAACTAAGTTCATCTAATGAACTCCCACTCAGATAGACATCCCTCTAGTCATCTAAGTGATACATGATCCGAGTCAACTAGGCCGTGTCCGATCATCACGTGAGACGGACTAGTCATCATCGGTGAACATCTTCATGTTGATCGTATCTACTATACGACTCATGTTCGACCTTTCGGTCTCTTGTTTTCCGAGGCCATGTCTATACATGCTAGGCTCGTCAAGTCAACCTAAGTGTTTCGCGTGTGTAAATCTGGTTTACACCCGTTGTATGTGAACGTTAGAATCTATCACACCCGATCATCACGTGGTGCTTCGAAGCAACGATCTTTTGCAATGGTGCACAATTAGGGGGAACACTCTCTTGAAATCATTATGAGGGATCATCTTATTTACTACCGTCGTTATAAGCAAATAAGATGCATAAACATGATAATCATCACATGCAATCAAATAGTGACATGATATGGCCAATATCATTTTGCTCCTTTTGATCTCCATCTTCGGGGCTCCATGATTGTCATCGTCACCGGCATGACACCATGATCTCCATCATCGTGTCTCCATGAAGTTGTCTCGCCAACTATTACTTCTACTACTATGGCTAACGGTTTAGCAATGAAGTAAAGTAATTACATGGCGTTATTCAGTGACACGCAGGTCATACAATAAATAAAGACAACTCCTATGGCTCCTGCCGGTTGTCATACTCATCGACATGCAAGTTGTGATTCCTATTACAAGAATATGATCAATATCATACATCACATATATTTCATTCATCACATCCTTCTTGGCCATATCACATCACACAGCATATGCCGCAAAAACAAGTTAGACGTCCTCTAATTGCTGTTGCAAGTTTTTACGTGGCTGCTATAGGTTTCTAGCAAGAACGTTTCTTACCTACACCAAAACCACAATGTGATATGCCAATTGCTATTTACCCTTCATAAGGACCCTTTTCATCGAATCCGATCCGACTAAAGTGGGAGAGACTGGCACCCGCTAGCCACCTTATGCAACAAGTGCATGTCAGTCGGTGGAACCTGTCTCACGTAAGTGTACGTGTAAGGTCGGTCCGGGCCGCTTCATCCCACAATACCGTCGAAACAAGATAGGACTAGTAACGGTAAGCATATTGAACAAAATTAACGCCCACAACAACTTGTATTCTACTCGTGCACAGAATCTACGCAATAGACCTAGCTCATGATGCCATTGTTGGGGAATGTAGCAGAAATTCAAAATTTTCTACGCATCACCAAGATCAATCTATGGAGAGACTAGCAATGAGAGAGAGGGGAGTGCATCTTCATACCCTTGAAGATCGCGATGCGGAAGCGTTTCAAGAACGCGGTTGATGGAGTCGTACTCGCGGCAATTCAAATCGTGGAAGATCTGATCTAAGCATCGAACAACGGTGCCTCCGCGTTCAACACAAGTACAGCCTGGGGACCTCTCCTCCTTCTTGATCCAGCAAGGGGAGAGGAGAAGTTGAGGGAGAACTCCGACAACACGACGGCATGGTGGTGATGGAGCTCGTGGTTCTCCGGCAGGGCTTCGCCAAGCACTACGGAGGAGGAGGTGTTGGAGGAGGGAGAGGGATGCGCCAGGGGAAGGGTGCGGCTGCCCTCTCTCTCCCTCACTATATATAGGGGGAAGGGAGGAGGGGTCACCCTAGGGTTCCCTAGGGGAGGGGCGGCGGCCACAGGGGAAACCCTAGATGGGTTTGGGAGCCCCCACCCCCTAGGAAACTTGCCCCCCAAGCCGGGAGGGGCGGCTGCCCTAGGGGTGACGCCCCACCTCTCCTGGTTACGTGAGATGGGGTGGGAGGGGCGCTCAGCCCCTTAGTGGGCTGATGTGCCCTCTCCCCTTGGCCCATAAGGCCCCCCAACGCTTGCCGGGGCCACCGAAACCCCTTTCGGACACACTGGTCATCACCTGGTACCCCCAGAACAATTCCGGACTCCAATACCCTTCGTCCAATATACCGATCTCCAGCTCCGGACCATTCCGGAGCTCCTCGTCATGTCCAGGATCTCATCCGGGACTCCGAACAACCTTCGGTAACCACATACTATTTCCCATAACAACTCTAGCGTTACCGAACCTTAAGTGTGTAGACCCTACGGGTCCGGGAACCATGCAGACATGACCGAGACGTTCTCCGGTCAATAACCAACAGCGGGATCTGGATACCCATGTTGGCTCGCACATGTTCCACGATGATCTCATCGGATGAACCACGATGTCAAGGATTCAAGCAATCCCGTATGCAATTCCCTTTGTCAATCGGTATGTTACTTGCCCGAGATTCGATCGTCGGTATCCCAATACCTCATTCAATCTCGTTACCGGCAAGTCACTTTACTCGTTCCGTAATGCATGATCCCGTGACTAACTACTTAGTCACATTGAGCTCATTATGATGATGCATTACCGAGTGGGACCAGAGATACCTCTCCGTCATACGGAGTGACAAATCCCAGTCTCGATTCGTGCCAACCCAATAAACACTTTTTGAGATACCTGTAGTGCACCTTTATAGTCACCCAGTTATGTTGTGACGTTTGGTACACCCAAAGCACTCCTACGTTATCAGGGAGTTACACAATCTCATGGTCTAAGGAAATGATACTTGACATTAGAAAAGCTTCAGCAAACGAACTACACAATCTTGTTCTATGCTTAGGATTGGGTCTTGTCCATCACATCATTCTCCTAATGATGTGATCCCGTTATCAATGACATCCAATGTCCATGGTCAGGAAACCATGACCATCTGTTGATCAACGAGCTAGTCAACTAGAGGCTCACTAGGGACATGTTGTGATCTATGTATTCACACATGTATTGCGGTTTCCGGTCAATACAATTATAGCATGAATAATAGACAATTATCATGAACAAGGAAATACAATAATAACCATTTTATTATTTCCTCTAGGGCATATTTCCAACAGGAGCCGCACGAGGGAAGGGGGAAGATGGTCTAGGGTTTGTCCAGGGGGGAGGGGACGACCTTATCCACGTGGGACGCCGTGGGATGGCCGCCACAGCGGCATCACTGTCCAGGGAGGCGTGGATGGCCGCTACGGCCCCCCTGTTTCCTGTAGCGTGAGGAGGGAGAGATGTGAGGTGGCTGGGCCTCCCTGCCCCTCCATGGGCCTCCCTCACTCTTTCCATTCCTTCTTTCTTTCTTTTTGTTTTCTTTTTATTTATTTACTTCTTTTCTGTTTTGCAAAATATTTAGCCAAAAGAAGTCTTTTGTAAATTATGGAGTTGTGCCACATAAATACTTTGCAATATTGAGCACTGCCATAAAAAGATTTTGAGGCAAGATAATTTCATTTAAATTTTATATAAATGAAAATAGATTAATGGGGCTGTTTTGGGCACTGTTTTAGCTCCTAGTGGCATTTTGGGAATTTAGGTGATGTTGTTTTCCTCACCATAATTATTTATGAATTATTTGTAAAATTATGAACTATTTTGTTTGCATTTTTTGGAGATGTAATTTTTTACTTGAAATTTAAACTAATGAATTTGAGTTTGGTTTGAAACAAAGTGAGGATTAGCAACTTAATTATGATGACATGGCATCACTAGGGTGGGGTTACCGTAGCATGATTCTCGGGGTGTTACAAATCCACCCTAGCCAGATACATGTCGGCTCCTTGTGGATCACACCACCCCGTGGACTACACCGCCCACTCCAGCCCCATGTAGTTGAACTTGATCCTCACATCGTGACACATAGATGACCTTCAACGCCTCCTCAGAGAGATGAACACTTGGACACGATGATGCTGACACGACAACGACGACTAACTGACCGTGCTAACCTGCACGACTCCTTGACTCTAACTACCGGATGACAATCTTGACGACTTCCCGGCACCGCACCACCGCTCCCGTCAACAAACCTCCATCCACTGCCTTGCCGACGACAGCCCGTCGTCTCGGGGGGGTGGATCTCATTACTTAAGGTGGTTCACCGTCCTTGCACAAGTTCACAATTTCATCTATACCTCCTCCTAACCACACCGCAGTCTGAGGAGTACAATGCCGGTAGGCAGCTAGACTATGACTAACTTTATTTTTGGTACGGCTAGTAAGAGTAACTGAGATCTCCCTATCAACTTTTAACATCCCCTGAAGTTCACTCACAATGGTCATGTGCCTCGACCGGTTCTGTTCAGTGGCCTGTAGCATCACCACTGCTTCGGAGCAGTCCAACTCCACCTGGATGGGGCAGGTCGTGCGCACCAGTGCAAGCGCGAGGCCTTCTTTGCACGCCTCCAGTTCGGCATCAAGGCCATTATCACATGCAAAGAGCTGCCGGCATGCTGTGAAAATAATTTCATCATGGGCGTTCCGCAACACCATACCACACCCAGCAGTATGATTCGCCACCTCTTGTTTTTTTTAGAGATTGACTAGTCATGTTTTAATGTGGAATACACAAGCCATTGCTTTAACCGGAGTTGGACCCTCAACTTCTTATAACACACCTTCATTTTCTGAGCAGGACGTGGATTTCCTACCGCAAATCCTTCAAAATATTCAAAAATTATCGCATATAGCTAGAAAAATACAGGATCTTTTTTTACAATTTATTAGTAGAATCCAAGTAGTTTCTTTTGGTGAATCATATTACACCCAGCAGGCACTACATATATAATTACTAGCTATAGCTAGTCGTATGGGACATGAACTGAAAGCTCAGTGGGACGTGGCCGTTTGCGGCCTTAATTTGATTTGAGTGTACGTGTCCATTTAGTTTGACACACGTACGTGCACACACAAATACATACGTACGTAAGTAGGCTTGAGAAGGATGATGACTGGACGCCGTCGATGCACCTAGCGTGGACAGCGGAGCACCATGGTCTCGATTGTGACTCCGGGTCCGAAGGCCAGCATGGCGCCCCACTCCGGCAGCAGGCTCCGGCGCCGGCGCAGCTCGTCGAGCACGAAGACGATGGTGGCGCCGCTCATGTTGCCGTACTCGCGGAGCACGTGCCGGCTGGCCGCCAGCTTCTCCGGCTCCAGCTTGAGCACCTTGTCTATGTTGTCCAGGATCGGCCGGCCGCCCGGGTGCACCGCCCAGAAGAGGTCGTTCCACTTCCCGTTCCCGGATAACGGAGACGGAAGATGAGCACCACCGTCGTCGTTGTCGTCGTCGTCTCCTCCGCGGAACGCGTGGAGGAGGCAGCGCTCCACGTTCTGCCCGATGAGCGTGGGCACCTGGATGGCGAGGTGGAAGTCGACGCCGCTGCCGGAGACCTGCATGCCGAGCGCGTGCTCCGTCTTGGGCACCGTGGTCTGCGTGGCGTGGACCATCTCGAAGATGGGGCTCTGCTCGCCGTCGCGGAAGGGCCCGGCGCCGACGATGACCGCGCCGGCGCCGTCCCCGAAGAGCGCGTGGCCGACGAGGTTGCCGCCGTCGGGCCCGCCGAAGCAGACGAGCGTGATCTCGGCGCAGGCCACGAGGACGCGCGCGCCGCGGTTGTTCTCGGCGAGCTCCCTGGCGAGGCCCAGCGCCCTGCCGCCACCGTAGCAGCCGTGGAGGCTGAGGATGGTGCGGGACACGGTGGGTCGGAGGCCGAGCAGCGTGGCGAGCCGCAGGTCGGCGCTCGGGGCGCCCCAGGCGGAGTAGGTGCTGAAGACGAGGTGGGTGATCTCGCTCGCGGGGCGGCCCCAGTCGGCGATGGCCTTGGCCGCCGCGCACTGCGCCAGCTTGGGCACGGCGTCGACGGTCATGGCGAGGCGGTTGTCGAGCGACTGCGCGTCGTGGTCGTACAGCTCCGGGTGCGCCACCAGCGTCTCCTCCGTCAGGTGGAAGTGGCGCTTGTCGATGCCCGTCTTCTCGCCTGCAAAGCATAAATTAGTAAAAAAATTATTAGCAGTAGCAGGAAAAAACATGCATGCAAATTATACTGTAGTTGAACGTGGTGAGTATAGTACAGATTCTGGTTAGCTTCTGCTGGAGCTCAGTGAGGTGGTCGCTCTTGGTGACGCGGAAGAGGTTCTCGGCGAAGACGTTCTGGGGCACCTCGACGCCGGTGGGGTTCGCCGTGCCGATGCCGAGCATGGCCGCGGGGCCTTCGGCGTGCTGCCGCCGCGCCGCCACCGGGGCACTGCCGTGCCCGATGCCGTTGCCGTTGCCGTTGGCGGTTCCGATGCTTCCCATGGCCGATCTTTCGGGAGCAGGAGCACTACTTGTGTGCTGGGCAGGGATCACTAGTGGCTATAGCTTTGTGAATGAAGCTTCAATGGCATGCACCCGCTTGGTCTAATGGGGTATGTGCTCGGCCCAGGATTTATAGTCTGTTTCTTTGGCTGGCTGGCTGAACTGTCTGTTTGAGTGGCGGCACTGGCATTAATTATGAGTCCCTCGGGTGCAGCTTCGGACGCAGCCTCCGAGGGAGCTTTCCTCGGAAAAAAAATGGGTAAACCTCAACTCCATGTGGCTTTCACCAATCCCATGCATCCAATTGGGAGGTGAAGGAAATGGCTTAAAATTAATTCCTCTGGAATTCTGTTCCAGGGATGTAGTATAATATATCCACAATGGATGGGGGCATTCCTTGCACAGTTGAAAGAGTCTGCCAATGACAGGGAAGATGCAAGGTTGAACCAATTTGCTAGTGCTAAATCACAAAGAGCATGTTGTTGTTTTTGTTATGGAAAGGGAAGGATAAACCTCTTGGACTATGCATGGTTTTCGATACATTTAGCCCATCAATCGGTCACTCGTACTCCCTCTATCCAAATATATGGGGCCTATAATCCGTTCTCCAATTTTACTTTTGAGCAAGGGTTAGAGCAATAATATATGTCATGCAAGGTACACACAACATACCATCAAATTCATATATGAAAGAAGTTTCTAATGGTATAATTTTATATCATATATCTTATATATTATTCATCTTGTCAATGGTCAAATGCGGGTTCAAAAAAGTATCATATCCTACATATTTGGATGAATGGAGTAAGCATTACTACCGTTCGGCTCTCAGTCGTGTCATATGTGAGTATGTGACTGCCCACGGATGATAGTGTTTGTAGTAGAGTGCACGGTGTTGTTATAACACGTATCTCGCTATCCGCTCGGGCTTGGAAAGCCACCATCCCGAACTGGGCATAGTAGGAACACATGGACCACCGTAGTTGTCTTTGAGTTCGACGGAATGTTTGTGCGTTTGATGGTTTGACCTCCTCGATAATTCTGTATGACATTAAAGACTTGAGAAACACCCTCCCCATGATGGCGTAGTGGCACACATTGCATTGTTCATGATCTAGCATTATGTAAATGGAGAATTAGAAGTAATATCATTAAAAAAACGTCAAGTGTAGCGACATTCCCTGCCTGGGAAGGGTTGAATGCCACATCCAAAATTGCTCAAGGATCTAAAGAAAAAGAAGAAAAAGAACCAGAATGAGTGTGATTAGGAGGTAGGTTAAATTTGTAATTCGAATCCTGGTCTGTCAAGGATTCATTTGTGTCATGGAACGAAAATCATTGGAAGCACATATGGTTGGTAAATTAACCAACATATTTGCCTTAAGAGCATGTAATACATAGCTTTATAAATTTGCAATAGAACACGTAGATATCTTCAAGAGAGGCTTCAGGGTGTGAGTTAGAAAATAGGCTTTCAATAATGGAGGAGGGATAAAGTTTAGGTGCAAATTGAGTAAATTATACTGATCTAAGTCCCCAATAAAAGCAAAGCGCCCTGGCAAAAGAAACTTTGACGAAGATGAGAATCGGAATTAAGTAATTAACATCTACGTCATTGCTCTGTGATGTGTGTATAGAATCATGAAGTTTGCAAACATGATGGAAGAGCTATCCTGAACAGCCTCCAAGCAAAATATCTTACCCTAGGTGGAAACTTTTGTTTTCCAAACCTTGGGAAGGAGTGTAATCTAGTGTCTCGATTCTTGCATGCTAAGCATGGTGGCCTGCTAAATGTTTTATATGCACTCTTGGTCATATATTGGACATTAGGATTATGTACCCTACAAACTTCATCTGCAGAAGTTAGCACCAGTGATGGGAATTTGAATAATTTGATTTTTTTTTAACCATCATGAAAGTGAGTTGAAAATTTGTGAATGTCACATGCGCCAGAATTTTCAGCCAAAGATGACAAGAATAGATATTTAAGTTGATCGTAGATGGGGTTCCAAGTAGGATACCAATAGTAAGACATATTCTAGAGTTACCTTTGGTGATTTGCAGGTGACAAGAATGAAGCATATGAGGCAAGACTTTAGGCCAATCTTAGAGATATATTGCTTGTTTGTGCATTTGGTTTTAGCTATTTCATCCTTGATAGATCTGTTTGGTTAACCTCAAGCTAGGGGGAAATAGATTCATCCAAAAAAATTACAGGACTTAAAGATGGTGAAAATAAAAACGGAGGCTAATATAGTGGCTCGTGACTTTGCAAGGTTTTGCTTCAGTTCTAAAGTTGATGGTGTGTTATTTGGTTTTGTGACTTCTTGTATAGCATGCTTTGTTCTTACTTATTATATGAACATTTCTTAATTAATACATGGGGTTAAAAATCTTTTTTATATAAAATAGTTACTAGAACATTGGCTAAGACTCGAAGACTGTTTACCAGATTACATTTATGAATCCTAACCATCTTTTACTCAAGGGCATATAATTCCAAATAGTATCACCATGTCCTCAGAACTTATACATCCTTTCCAACTTTCCTCTTGCAATCATAATTAATGTGCCCATGTTAAATACATTCATTTAGCTAAATATTTTGAAATAATTAAATGGTACTTCATCATTAGGGCCCTCGCACCTAAATGGATGCATGGTCGCTTTATCATGTTAATTTAATGAATGCATTTCCCCTACCACCTTGCTGTCAATATAAATGGTTAACATTTTGTTAACTTTTAAGGGGCCCGAGGTATTCATCAAGGTTGTCCTTTTTATTTGCATGTCTTTTTTCCTTTCAATTAGTGATTGTTCACATTCTATACATAATGGATGAGTTCCAATAGTTTAACTGACATCGAGTGAGGCCCTCTTGTCCCCCTTATGCACCCTCTTATGTTTTTAGATGCCCTTAACATTTGTGGCTCATCATCTATAAATGATGGTTGTGCATGGCAATTTACTCAAAATGGCTATTGAAATGCCAAATGTAGGTAGGTATGATGGTAGTTTCCAAAAGATGTTGGGTTTATGTGTAGGAGGACAAGAGGAGATCCACGAACATATTTGGATGTACCAGCGAAGTATACACCATGTCACAATGTGAGAGTGGGTAATGTTGAGTACCAAAGAGGCTAGCAAAAAATTATGTGGAAGCAAAGAACACTAGAACTTGCATTAATCTTAAACAACTCATCAACATGTGCATCATGATATCATATTGCACAGTTCATACGTCTCCAACGTATCTATAATTTTTCATTAACCCATGCTATTACAGTATCACTCTTGGATGTTTATTGTTCAATTATATGCAATTATATATCATTTTATGGGAATAACCTATTAACCTAGTGCCCAATGCCAGTTGCTGTTTTTTGATTGTTTTTGGCTTTTCAAGAAATCAATATCAAACAGAGTTCAAACAGAGAAAAAACATTGTATTAATTTTTTTTGGACCAGAAGAGACACTAGAAGGTTCGGGAGAAGACCTGACGAGCCATGAGGGAGCGACAGGCTCAGAAGGCGCGCCCTAGGGGGGCGCCCCAGGCTTGTGGGCCCCTCGTGACACCTCTTGACCTAATTCCGCCTCTATAAATACTCAAATATTCCCCTGATATCAGAGAGCCACCCGAAATACTTTTTTCGCCACCGCAAGTTTGTGTTCTCGTGAGATCCCATCTGGAGGCCTTCCCTTGCACTCTGTCAGAGGGGAGATTGATCACGGAGGGGATCTACATCAACCTTGTTGCCCTTCCGATGTTGCGTGAGTAGTTTACCACATGCCTACGGGTACATAGCTAGTAGCTAGATGACTTCTTCTCTCTTTTTGATCTTCAATACAATGTTCTCCTTGATGTTCTTAGAGTTCTATTCGATGTAATACTTTTTATGGTCTGTTTGTTGGGATTCGACGAATTGTGACTTTATGATCAGATTATCCATGAACATTATTTGAGTCTTCTCTGAACTCTTCTATGCATGATTATTATAGCTTTGTATTTCTCTCCGATCTATTGATTTGGTTTGGCCAACTAGATTGATTTTTCTTGCAATGGGAGAGGTGCTTTGTGATGGGCTCAATCTTGCGGTGATCTATATCCCGGTGACAGAAAGGGACAAGACACGTATTTGTACTGTTGCCATTAAGGATAAAACGGTGGGGTTTATTCATGCGTGAGTTTACTTTGTCTACATCATGTCATCTCGCTTAAGGCGTTACTCCATTTTTTATGAACTTAATACTCTAGATGCATGCTGGATAGCGGGTGATGTGTGGAGTAATAGTAGTAAATTCAAGAAGGAGTCGGGCTACTTGTCTCGGACGTGATGCCTATATAGATGATCATTTCCTTGGATATCGTCATGATTATTTGCTTTTCTATCAATTGGCCAATAGTAATTTGTTTACCCACCGTCCACCGTATGCTATTTCCAAGAGAGAAGCCTCTAGTCAAACTATGGCCCCGGGGTCTATTTTTATAATATATAAAAAACCCAAAATACCTTGCCACAATTTTGTTTACTTTATTTTATTTTGTATTTTTGTTCTAACTAACTATGTTTACAAGATTTGATCCTTGCAATTAACCGCTGAGGGATTGACATTCCCTTGTTCGCGTTGGGTGCAAGTATTTGTTATTTTGTGTGTAGGCACTCCTAACAAGGTGTTGCGTGGTTCTCCTACTGGATTGATAACCTTGGTTCTTAACTGGGGGAAATACTTATCTTTAGTGTACTGCATCATCCTCTCCTCTTCAAGGAAATCCCAACGTAGCTCACAAGTTGCAATAGTACACCAAGCTGGTATCCCATGGGGAAAGATTGTTAGGTTCAAGACCATCACTTTGCCCTGGCTGCAGCAATATCGCTATTATATGATGGTTGATACAAACATATGTTTGCAACTTCAAATTCCCATTAGAGTCCCCATATATTGTTTACTTGCTGAAAGAAAGGAAATTGTTCTTTTCAATATTGAATACACTATATCA